CGGGCAGCCGGCGGGGAGCCCTGCACTACACCCGGGAGGTGAGGCAGCCGCCGCCGCGTTCCCCGGGACCCCCCGGTACCAGCGCCTTGCCCACCGCCAACCCCCACCCGCTGTTTCCCTCTCCAGGGTGTCCCAGTGCTCATCGTGGGCCACCACATCCTGTACGGGAAGGTGGTGCAGCTGGAGAAGCCCTTGGCCGTGCTGGTGAAGGGAGGAGCCGGGGAGCCCGGCCCCGCGGGGACACCTGCCCATTACACCGTCACCGCCCTCATCAAAACCAAACTCCTCTTCAAAACCCGTCCCAAGCCCATCATCACCAACGTGCCCAAGAAAGTGTGAGGACTCAGGGCTGGGGAGCTCTGGCTGGGCAGCCCTGGGGCTTGGGGACATCCACCCTGGCCAGGGCTACCCAGAGCCCTTCCCAGGTCACTTTTTCCCTTCCATCATGACATAACTGTGCTGAGCTCTGGGGCACAACCCCAGCTGCTATCCCAGGTGGGACAGGTCCTGCTGGGCAGGGAACCTTCTCCAAGCCCAGATGGGGCAACTCCCCATGGTCTGTGGCCCACAATGGTGCCAGCACTCAGGTTTTTCTCCTTGCTACTGTCTTTTCCCCTCTAAAATCCCCCCCTCCGTGGCTGCCCCCCCACCCTCTCCCCGCATACCACCCTTTTTCTGTGCAAGTCTTTATTTTTTTGACAAACCCAGGTATAAAAACATGGAGGGTTTTTTTTTCCCTTCCAAAATATGAAAAAAATACCCCAAACATAACAACAAACCAAACAAAACACAAACAAACAACAAACCAACAACCCCAACCCACAGGTTAAAAAATAAATAGAATTACAAACCGTCGGCAAAGAGTCTTGAATACCAAAAAAGAGCTACAAAAGTCATCTAAAAAAACCTCGTATTAAATTAAACAGCCAAAAAAATCAGTTCAATGCTTAATTATAGAAAGGTTTTTAAGCCCCAGGAAAAAGAAAGGGGCTCTGGGTTGAAACCAGGGGGCTGTGGTGTGGCCGGGATGCCACTGGGACACCCCCATGACACCCCACCTGTGCCACAGCCCTGGTTCTGGAAGTCTGGGTCCCCCCCTCTTTGGCAAAGCTGAGGGGATCTACTGCCCTCCTGGGGCAGCCAGACCCCCCCTAAAATGGGCTGGAGGGAGCCCTGGGGGCTCCCTGTGGGTACAGCATCAGCAGCACCAGCCAGCGGTGCCGGAGGGAGCCGGGTTTGCCGTAGCCCCATGGAGAGGCAA